GCAGGAATGAGAACACCCCAGTCTCACCAGTGTTCCCAGCACACACCCAAAGCCCAGCCCCACGCCAGCTACTGGGAGGGAAAACGAACCAGCGCAGCGACGGGGACTTGGTGTTCTTCTCTGCCACAGCCTGACCCCCTGCTTTCCCCCCTCCCACAGGAAGACAGAGGGGGAACCAGCTCGCTCTCTGCTTCCAAGTGGACCACCTTCCTGAAGGCCACCTTGATTTGTGTCGACCCAGTCACCAAGGGCAACTTCAACTGGCTGCAGGATGTCTTCTTCGTCCCGGCCAGCGACTGGCGACAGTCCAAAGCCTACGGGCTCTTCACAAACACCTGGTGAGGGGCTTTGCCTGGGCCAGACCCTTTCTTTCAGCCCTCTGGCAGGCACTGGGGTGACAGGCAATGATCTTCCCTTTGTCACCCTCAGGGGAAGCTCTGCTGTTTGTGTCTATTCCTTTGGGGACATCGACACGGTGTTCCGGACCTCCAGACTGAAGGGTTATCATGGTCCCACCCCAGAGATCAAGCCTGGCCAGGTGAGTGAGGGGTAAAAGGTGCTGAGGTGAAGTGGGGAGGCCTCCTATGGCCAGGGGAGCTGGTCCTTGCTCTGTCACTGCAGTTGTCAGAGCAGCTTGGGGCAGGTTGGGGGACTGTCCCACCACCGAGCAGCCCAGGTGAGACAGGTTGGTAGGAGAGATCTGAGCTTGGCTGCTGGGAACAAAAGGAGGCTGGAGAAGGTCCAAAGCCTTCATAGAAAGCAGGAGGAGACAGGCTCCTACCTGCCTGGGCAGACAGATCTGGAGGCCAGTGCTTGGTGCTTGCTGGTGTCCCTGGGCTTCACCCAGCCCAACCCTGCTGCATCACCCACCTGGGGGGAGGCAGCTCAGAGCTGCTTGTCTGGTTGGGGGGGGGGGTCACAGGGTGTCACTGTCCCCACCTGGGACCTCTGCAGGGGAGCTCAGGGGTAGAACCTGGCATGGGCACAACCACAGTGGCCCCCAGGACTTGGGTTTGCCCCCAGGACGAGGAGCCCCGGAGCCTCATCCCCTGCTGACGGTGGCTTCTCTCCCCTCTTGGCTGCAGTGTGTTCCCTCTGGGCAGCACACCCCCAGCGAGACCTTCAAGATAGCTGACAGCCACCCGGAGGTGGAGGACAGGGTGGAGCCCCTTTCCCCCACCAAGAGCCCCTTGTTCCACAACAAGCACCGGTACCAGAGGATCCGGGTGCACGAGGTCTCGGGGGGCGACGGCCGCCCCTACAACGTGCTGTATCTGGCAACAGGTCCCCAACTTTCCAGCACAGTGGGGCTGTGCTCCCAGTTGAGCGTGTGTATGTTAAGCGGACGAGTCCCAGTGTGGTTTGTTACCCACCAGTTTGGCCCAGGCAGGCTGAAAGCAGCATCCCAGCAGGTGGGGGTTTCCCCTGTGGGGCTGTGTCAGCCCGTGGGAGGGTGAGGGTGGGGTAGCACAGCTCTCCCCAGGGGCAGCTTGGCACTGCCAAGCAGAAACCCTTCCGCAGAAGGACCCTGCTCCATCACCTCCTGTCCCTGCTCCATCATCACCTCCTGTCCCTGCTCCATCACCTCCTGTCCCTGCTCCATCACCTCCTGTCCCTGCTCCATCACCTCCTGTCCCTGCTCCACCACCTCCTGCCCCTGCTCTCCATCACCTCCTGTCCCTGCTCCATCACCACCCCCTATCCCTGCTCCATCACCACCCCTTGTCCCTGCTCCATCACCTCCTGTCCCTGCTCCATCACCACCCCCTGTCCCTGCTCCATCACCTCCTGTCCCTGCTCCATCACCTCCTGTCCCTGCTCCATCACCACCTCCTGTCCCTGCTCCATCATCACCTCCTGTCCCTGCTCCATCACCTCCTGTCCCTGCTCCATCATCACCTCCTGTCCCTGCTCCATCACCTCCTGTCCCTGCTCCATCATCACCTCCTGTCCCTGCTCCATCACCTCCTGTCCCTGCTCCATCATCACCTCCTGTCCCTGCTCCATCACCTCCTGTCCCTGCTCCATCATCACCTCCTGTCCCTGCTCCATCACCTCCTGTCCCTGCTCCATCATCACCTCCTGTCCCTGCTCCATCACCTCCTGTCCCTGCTCCATCATCACCTCCTGTCCCTGCTCCATCACCTCCTGTCCCTGCTCCATCATCACCTCCTGTCCCTGCTCCATCACCTCCTGTCCCTGCTCCATCATCACCTCCTGTCCCTGCTCCATCACCTCCTGTCCCTGCTCCATCATCACCTCCTGTCCCTGCTCCATCACCTCCTGTCCCTGCTCCATCATCACCTGTCCCTGCTCCATCACCTCCTGTCCCTGCTCCACCACCTCCTGCCCCTGCT